TTACGCTGACGACGTAAAGATTTGGAGAGCAATAAACTCATCGGAAGACTCAGATAGATTGCAGGCTGACCTGCAAACTCTGGGAAATTGGGCTTTGGCTAACGGAATGCCTTTCAATCTAAAGAAGTGCAAAGTAGTGCAGCTTCATTCCGGCAGGTCACAGAGTGTAAATTACACCCTTGGTGGCCAGAACTTGAGTTGTGTTCCATCAGAGCGTGATCTAGGTCTTATTCTAACAGAAAAGCTAGACACCAGTGGAAATTACTCGAGGGACGTCGCCAAAGCCTACGCAACATTACACTTTATGCACAGGCAGCTGGGAGCTCTCACTCCCGAACTGTTCTTAAGGCTATACAAGGCATATGTGAGGCCACACCTTGAGGTGCATAATATCATTGCACCTCCGCTACTCAAAAGGGATGCTAACATTCTAGAAAGTGTCCAGAGACGAGCGACAAAATGGGTGATCGGCCTCCGCAACAAATCATATGAGGAAAGACTAAAGAAATTAGGTCTTTTCACACTTAGTTACCGTAGGCACAGGGGAGACCTCATCACCGTCTACAAGATCCTAAATGACCAGGCCCACCCAAATAAAAGCATCCTGCCATTAAGCGATTATAGGCTTCCACGAGGTAACCCGCTAAGGATAGCACACCAGAGACCAAAGACTCGAGTGCGATCACATTTCTTTTCGCTTCGTGTTTGCCGTCTCTGGAACGCTTTACCGGCGGCCGTGACTACAGCGCCATCTCTGGAGATTTTTAAGCGGAAGCTAGACAATCATGCAGAAATGCAAGGTTTGTGTCTCAATGGCTTATCCTCATAAAATTTGAAACCACACTGTCAATGGATAAGCGTACAAACTAAATCCCCACGACCTATTCTGCCTTCTCTCACTCTATCTTTTCCTTAGGTCACCTTTATTATTCCACTTATCTCAACCTATATTATCTACACTACAACCTATTATTATTATTATGATTATTACTATTCTGCTTTTATGACTACACCGAATGACCAACGGGAGTTAGGTCAAACTCCATTCACGGCAGCAATACAGTCCTAACATACTGCATACTACAAACCACATCTCGACCAATCCCCGCACCACTCCTCCTGGAGTCTACCAGAGCTAAAGCAGTCGAGTGTCGGGACTTACTACGCAGAAGCTCACCGAAGATCTGGAACCTCTACCTCACAATCAAGAAGCGAGCTCAAAGAAATCACTGGTTTATACTAGCTCGTAATCAGGATATTGGATATTGGATGTAATACACATTCGTACTCTTCGGAAGTGCCTTTTGATTTACGTTGTGGGCGCCGAGTAGCCACAACGTCTGCGCACATTAATAAGAACGAAGAAATACTAGAATATATGTGTACGGCAGTTTAGTCAGACAACGTACGTAACAATATATTTCTTATATGAATTGCATTATAATTCCGCTAAATACAAATTCCTGAATTCCGCCCTCTCTGTGTTTTGGTTGGATTCTTGTAATTCGGTCCTCTCGAAATACTAATACTGCGATTACAAATAATTACAACAAACGGGCATGGGTTATTTCGTATGCGCTCTTGGTGTGGTTGATTTTGATTTCTCGAGATGTTTGTCCGATGTAGATCGCATCACATTCCGAGCATTCTATTTTATAGACACAATTGAATAGAGAATCTTTAGGGATTTGGTCTTTTATATGGACAAGGTTGTTTTGAAGTGTGTCCGATGTTTTGAAGAAAACTCTAATGTCCAGATGATTGAGTACTCTTCTGATATCGTCTGACGTCTCTGCTCTATATGGAATGACGACTGTTGAAGTCCATGTTTTCGGAGTGCATTTTCGGCCATACTTAATGTCTGTGTTGATTTTGTTGATGAAGTTCGTTGGGTAGTTGTTTTGCTTGAGAGTTTCAGTGATGTTTGATATTTCTTCTTCTTTTTCTTGTTCATCCGTTATCAGGGAGTGTGCTCGTCTAAGAAGACTTGAAACAACTGAAATCTTTGCGCTGATGGGGTGTGATGATTTGAAGTCTAAATATTTATTGGAGTGGGTTTTCTCCCTGAATATGGATATACTAGAATGTCCGTTTTCCTTTCTCTTAACTAGGCAGTCTAGAAATGGAAGTTCACCGATGTCTGATTCTGCTTCCGAAGTGAATTGGATTTTGGGAGATACACAGTTTATTTTCCCCAAGAATGAATTGTGTAGATTTCGTTTTAGTACTACAAAAGTATCATCCACATATCTTAACCATATTTTAGGAGTGGGTATGCTTGGAAAGATATTATTTTCGAATTTATTCATGTAAAGATCGGCGACTATTGGGGAGACTGGTGAACCCATAGCAACACCACTTGTCTGTCTATATAAACTCCCTTTAAATGTAAAATAATTACTTTCTAGACAGAATTTTAAGCTCTTAATTATTTCAGTGTCCAGTGAACATCTTTGTAATAGTGTTGTATCTGATTCTAGCTTAAAATTGATATAATAACAGATATACTATTACCTTTGATATTTGGTTTGAACGATCTTCATTGTTATTTTGACTTTCAATATGTCCTTTTAAGTTGAACTAAGTCTATATTTTTCTCACCCCCTAACTCTTTGTTATATATATGCTGAGTGGATTTTGTAAATTCCGGTTTAATAATACTTTGAGAAAGCTATTAGCATTAAATGGCGCAACGTCAGTAAAAACAATCTCGTTTTGTTTTTCATTCATTGGGAAATACAAAAACCTGTATTATAATGAATATCATATACACAATGCCCAAATTTTTTCAAACCGTTAAAAGTAAACTTGGTTTGGACATATATAATGACTTATGGCATCTCATAATTTATATATCTCAGTATCTCCTCACTACCCAATATTCCCTCACTTTTCGATTTATTCGAGAAATCATTTTTATAGCTGTACAATCGCAGATATATATGGTTTTTTTGTATGTGCGTGTACACTAAATTTTTCAGATGAAAATACATTTGGTTAGTTCAGATGAATTGGATGTTGATATAAGAGGGTAGTAACAAAAGAAATGAGTTATTACAAACGATTGTTAAACAAGAGTTACGTAATAACATGAGTAGTTTGATGAAACAGTTGTACTGAGGTTGTACATGGAGACAAAGTAACATACGGAATAACGTAATAGTTTTAAGTGGTTGGAAAAATAAGCATGCGAACAAACGTTAAGTCGAATCAAGCAAGAAATCTTCGTACAAAACGGTTATGCGCCAAGATTCATAGACTAAAGCATCAAACAGAAAATCCATGTCAAAAATGGTAATTTAAATGAGCCTCGACTTCAAAGGTGACCTACTAAGTGATATCCTAAGGGGGAGAATTTCCACTTCGTTAGGAAGAACTTTCCTTGCGGTAACAGTGACAGTAGTGTCCTCCAGTTGCCCGCTGATCTGCAGAAGCCCAAAGGACAAGATCCCAAACCTGACCACTTCTATGTAAATTTACCAGCTTACCTGTTGCTGGCCGTCTGACGCATATTCTCTCCTGTTTGAAAGGACTGAAGAACACTATCCAGCTTGCCTGAAGAAAGGAAGTAGTGGCCGTATAAGGAGGGCAATAATCGAACATCTCGTCACCACTGATCATTCCATCTCAACAAACGCCTCCTGCTTCAAAGTAATCTACAAAGTGAAGAACAACCTGCCAAAGACACTATGTTTCCGTCTTCTTTGCATTGCAGAAGCCCTAGCTATTCAGTTGGAAGAACCAGAGCTACGCATACAAAAGAAAATTATTCAACCACTTCTACTCTCATGGTGACAACTCTGTTAATTTGACTTAGCTTTTATTGGTATGCTTATTTTTGTAACTAATTAAAACTTTTGTGTAATTCCGTATGTTATTTTGTTTCCATGTACACCCTAAGCACAACTCTTTCATCAAACCATTCATGTTATTGCATTACGTAACTCTTCTTTAACAATCGTTTGTGACAACTCATCACTTTTGTCACTATCCCCTTATATCAACATCCAATTCATCTGAACTTACTAATTGTATTTTCACTTGGTGAATTTAATGTGCACACACACATACAAAACAACCATATATATATTTGCGATTGTACAGATATGAAAATGAATTCGCCGCCGAAAAGAGACTCTTCGCTGAACTACTGGTCTTCTCTCGGTTAATTTTTGATTTGGAATTTTTGATGAATTATTCGAGGAACTTCAATCACATTTCACACATAATTATGGGAATATTTTTACAATTTCTTAACTTAAGATTTCGATTCATTTTTGTATGTTCACACTCGAAATGGAGAACGAGTTTAGCATTCATTTCCTCGATGTGAACTTATCAAGGAGGACAGATGGAACTCTGAAGAGATCGATTTATCAAAAGCTATCATGGAATGGGAAACTCACAAATTTCCACAGCTCGGTACACATTGGTCGTAAACGAAACCTGGTCCGGGCGTTTTCCACTAGTATTAGGTGCATATGTAGCCCTGATACTGTGTGGTGATTGACAATTTCTATCTCTGTATTCTTTAAATACTTACTGTTGATTTTTAAAATGTTTCTTATATGAATTGCACTATAATTCCGCTAAATACAAATTCCTGAATTCCGTCCTCTCTGTGTTTTGGTTGGATTCTTGCAATTCGGTCATCTCGAAATACTAATACTACGATTACAATAAATTATTACAAATTGGCGTCGCGATGGAACTAAATAACCTGGGAAAATTTACTCTAAAGGGTTCTCCACGGGGGATTGCTGATTACTTTGAATGCTTCGATGCGTGGTGCATATCCAAGAATGTTCGGGATGACAAAATTCCAGCACATTTCATCACTGCTATTGGGCTAGATGCGTATAGCCTAGTAAAGACTCTGTCATTTCCAGATAAACCAATTTCTCTGACATATTATAAACTCCGTGAACTTCTGATAAATCACTATCATGTAACTACATTTGAGACCAGAGAGAGGGCTTAATTCAACAAACTGGTTCGTGCTCCCAACCAGAAGATAAGAGACTTAATTCTTCAACTTCAAATTCAAGCTTCAAAGTGTAACTTTGGAGATCAGCTGCATACTCAACTACGTGATCGTCTAATTGCTGGCTGGAATCAATATTCCTAAGTTAGCGAAAGAGTTAATTCAGATTCCTTCTTGTACCTTTCAAACTGCTAAAGATTTATGTATTACATATGAAGATGTCAACAGTGAATACTCTGCTCCCACTACGTCAGTATCTGATGTCATGTTGTCCAAAGTCGAAAATACAAGTGGTCATGGAAAGCAATCCAAACTGCCGTCCACAGGTAATAGAATGCAGCGAGAGATCAAAAACATTAAATCGTGTTTTTCCTGTGGAAAGTTACATCTACGAAGCACTTGCCGTTTTCGGGGTGCTAAGTGTCACAAATGTGGTAAAGTTGGACACATCAAGACTGTTTGCAGAAGTTCGAATACTTATGCTGCTCAACATTCTTATAATTCTCCCAATCTGTCTAGTAAAATGGAGTCAATGTGTCTTTCAACTTCTCAAAATACTCAATCTCATCCAATGAAAACCTCCACTACAAGATCAGCAACTCAAGCGTCAACTGTTTTCAAAAATGAGGTAGCCGAGTTACAATGCGAACTGTCGAAAACACGAGAAGAACTGAATGAGATGAGAGAGCAACTGATTAAAATGGAGGAATTGTTGCATATGCATAGACTGCGTCTATTGAATGCAGAGCATACAAGTACCCGTGAAAGTCCTGCAAAACTTTTCAAATCTCGAATTCTCAGAAAGCATCTGATGTCCACGACTTCTAATGTACATTATTACAAAGGGAATGACTACAGACCTTCTGTTGGAATCATACTACAAAAAATGGGAAATCGAGTGGTGAAGATATTAGACATCAAAGATCACTCAGTTCATAACAGACACCTGGACAAAGTGACAATAAATGAAGTAGGTCGTTCCAATTATAATATTAATGATTCCGCTACTCATCCTGATTTTGTAGATAATTCTGAAATAAGTCCAGATAATACTGATGAAAATAATATCACAGAATCAGTTAGAAGGTCGCAGCTACTTGCAAGCAAACCGAGACATCGTTATAAATACGCAAGGAGATATTCGACGTGTGGCGGATGTGGTGATTGACAATTTCTATCTCTGTATTGTTTAAGTACTTACTGTTGATTTTCAATATGTTTCTTATATGAATTGCATTAGGATTGCGCTAAATACAAATTCCTGAATTCCGCCCTCTCTGTGTTTTGTTTGGATTCTTGTAATTCGGTCCTCTCGAAATACTAATACTGCGATTACAAATAATTACAACAAACGGGCATGGGTTATTTCGTATGCGCTCTTGGTGTGGCTTCGGCACTCTTTTGCCATACTTTCAGTGCATCCGTCGCTGGGGAATACTGCATGCAAAAGACGGAACTGTGGACTTGATAGTCGTCATCCTTTCCAGAAATCGATCTCGAGGTCCTGATTTTATGACGCCTGGGACTTTTCCTTCTAGTCTTATGTAGTGCTACAAGTTGGTTTCATATGGAAACATGTGCGTTTCGGTTTTTACGTTATTAGGATGTGTGGATATCGACTTATTAAAGGGACATCGATTACGGGATCAAATATTTACAAATGATGTGTGCAACGGCTTTAATACCGTCGGTTAATGAACTCTCCTAGCTAAAGCTGTAGTAATGACAGATTATGTAATAGTCACGAACTTTATTAGGTGTAAATCTCCTGTCACAATAAAACTCATTGGTATGCAGGGTTAAAAAACAATGATATAGGTAATAACAGATTTTTTTCTAATAGAAGAAGAATGAAAACAATGACAAAGTATACGAGAAAGGTTCTCGACTTTATCTTGAACACTCAAGTGACCCAGCTTCACATTAATCGCGACGCAGTCCAAAAAATCTTGTTTATTTGATTAAGTTGTAGAGATGATGTTACAACAAGCGTAGCACTTGGTTCGAGACAACTGGAATTATGACGAAAGTTTGACGTGATAGTGTAGTACCCCTACATTAACTCAAATCACACGCTTATGAAACTAATTCATTTGCTCATTTAAACATTTACAGAAACTGGTTTTACATATGCTTGTCAAATAAAAAGCCGTTGCACTATTGAACTTTAGTTTTTCTTTGTAATATATATATATATAGTGCAGGTTCGCACACAAGGGTTCGTCTGGCGCTCTTCAAAATTTGATTTCGCCAAAAATTCAAATTTTCATTTGTGTCATTAGATACTTTGTTTGATATTTAGTCGCACACAGCGTTAGCACACCATAGAACATGATAACGCCAATGAACTATACTATTACAATCGGAATCATTTGTAGTACCCTATGTTAGTGATGGTAGTGGCAGATTCACAGACTAGAAGAATCAGGTTTGTCAAGCAGCTTATGAGAAAGTGGGTATATTTTCCCAGATGAGAGAAACATTAATGTCAGCTTTCGAAAAGCGCCATTTGTCCACTCTTGTGAAGCTCTAACAAGACATTCGAATGTAAACAACTAGTGTGATGTCGACGATCCTACGTGTTTCATAATGACTGATGAAGCGGAGTTTTTAGAAGACGAAAGATAGTGATTGTCACTCAAGATGCGGTGTATACATACGTAGGTATTCATCTTTCAACGTTCAAAATACTTTTTCCACCAAAACCAGATGATTAATAACAAATAATTGACTGTCCAAAATGAGAGATATATTTCAGGATCAGAAACGTTCAGTGACGATTGCCTAACTAGCTAGGAATCATGCTCAAATGACCGGACATAGCACGGCAGTGAGTTGAATGGCGAGGGGTCTTGACCTCTTTCATTCACCTTAACAAGTGACTTTGAACCAGACAGTTCAGTAAGTGTGCCACCCTATAGATATCTATTATCCAAGTATTTCTCCAGTTCATTCTATGGACATGCCTACAACCACATACGACTGTCGCACACGCACCTATCATCCGATTCCTTGGTAATCGTCCTATATGGGTAGCATTATACATTGCAGGTGAACGTTGTCAGTCTAGGGTTTATATAGTTTCCCGTTGTATGTCCTTTAGGAATGCATTTACTAATGATACGTTGCACTTCTTTCATTACAGTTTACTGATTCACCTTAGCAATTTTACTTTTCTAAAACAGCTTTCAATCCCATGTAAATGTAGCACTTACCTCAATATTAGTTGGTTATCGTATGCCTACAATCACGGGTTGAGAAAGAAACGAAGTCGATTTTCCAGCGCAACCTGGAGGACTACTGCACAATTCAATAATTATACGGCCTGGTTCAGACAATGAGTGTATATATATATATCACATATTTAGCTGCTGAGACATCGTTAACTTGTAGAAAATCTACAATTTGAGATTATATCATACTTAATCTTGTCTGTAAAAATGGCATGCATTTTCATGTAAATTTATATGTTTATATCAGAATATACATTATTATTACCCCTGGGATACCATTCATGAGTTGATATCACTTAGGTCTTTGACATGAGATCTAATTTACAAACCATGACAACTTTTCTCTATGATGTTAAATGATTGACGGATGACTAATGTTTAAAGAGACTCATGCTAGTTGGCACTCACTAGTTTGTAAGGCGTATCTGCATCTTTGAAGGAACTCATATCCCCTCTGAGATTCAAACCCGCGTCACCCAGTGAGTGCTGTAGTCAGAGAGGTTACCACTGAGCTATTCGGGTTCACTGTTGACTTCCTGTAGAACTGTATTAGATACTCTGATTGGACACCAGTACAGGACTTCCTTTCTACTGCCTCCAACCATCTAATTTCAATAAATCTTTACTATTTGAAATAAATTGGGAGATATATGACTGATAAGTAAACAAACTACAGTGTACATCGAACTTTATATATGACTCTGAATAAAGTCTCTGATGATGCTACTATGTGACGAGAAGCCAAAATGTGCTTCAGAATTGAGCAGTTAGTTATTCTGTGTTCTCCTTCCAACAACCACGCTAGTATGCTTTCATAGGCTCGCCTATACAGTGTCCTGTTTCTATGACCTGTGTACGATATAAGATAATTTTGGTGAAAATCAAAATGATGTGAAAAACAAAATTGAATAGTTTACTAAAATCGATAACTTAAGATTACAAGTTTAAACAAGTATTAATCAAATCATTTATTTGTTTTCTATGATGACTATTCAAGTTTTGTTTAAAATGTTAATTTAAAAAACAAAGATTAAAATAGTTTCAGCTAATGAAAATAAATAAAACTCGATTGATGGAAGTTAGTATTTAATTTGATTCGGACTTTCCTGTTGATTCATTGGACCGAAGCGCTCGTTCTCTATTGACATGTTGGTTCCGTGTGCGGATGCTTCAACGGTGATATCTGAGGATTTGATCTGAAGTAACACTGTAGAGGGTGACTAGCAGTGAAATCCAGGATTCGCATTTCGTCCTATTTGGGGCTCGCATCAGTTGGATATACTTACATCCCTAGTGAGTGAGTGATGGTGTCCCCAGTGAGGCTTAAACTCAGTAACCATAGTTTCAAACGTCAAAGTATCGGCGGGAACATTATCACTCCCTGAAGAATGCAGATACACCCAATGAAGAGTTCCAAGTAGGGTGAAGTGCGCGTTATTCCTGGATTCCACTGATATTCACCATACACCAGATTACTTCAAGATGAAGCTTAGGTTTGAATAGAAAAAAGATTATACTACAATCTGTGGAGTGATTACTAAAGTTTGGGACGCAAAAGAACGATGAACAAAATCACTTTGAACAAGCAATCAAATAAGTCTAACTCTTCAGTTATTATTCCTGAGGTTGTATTTCAGTAATGTGCCCTATTGTGGGGAGCGAGAGGATAGGAACACGTTGAACTAGTTAGGAGACTTGGAATTTGTGGACAACCTACATCTAATGTCACACAAACTAGAATACCTACAGACGAAAACCAACAAGTGGCCAGAAGAGATAAGCAATAAAGATAGGATTTCAAGTGAACACAGACGACAGGTGTGGTGAAGGTAACCAACCAACCAACCAACCAGCAACAACTAGAAGCACCAATTACCATCAACAGTGGAAGTTTGAACAAGGTCAATTCTTTCACACATGTAAGCAGCGTCTTTTCAACTACAGGCAGTGATACGGATGAGGATGTCAAAATCAGCATCGGAAAGGTAAGGTAGACCATAATCACTCTGGCATCAGTTGGGAAGTCTACCACAGTCATGACATGGAACAAAGCCTAGATTTTTAACACTGATGTCAGGTGAATTAGTGCTTCGAACAAACTATAGACCTTCATAAACAGCTGGCTGCCTTCGCTCAATACTGCCTAACAACAGATGATCAGCTAGAAAAGATCAGCAACAGGGATCTCTGGCAGTGAGAGAATGAACCATACAGGAACCAGCTGTGCAACGACTATGAAGGAAGAAATTGAGGTGGATTGGCTGGCTACACTCTAAGGAAACAAACCATCAAGTGAGTGAGTGACATCACACGCCAGCCCGTTACTCGAGTGGAATCCTACTGGAATGGGAAGCGGTGATTTGGTTGGTTGTCAGTGCGAGTGTGACATGGAGGAGGAGGTCATGTGAAGAGGAGATGAAATCATGTGGGCAGATGTGGAGCCAGGTGAAAACTTTGGTGGATAACCAGACGCAATGGATACGTGCGGCTGAATCCCGTTGTTCCTCTAGGAACTAAAAGAAACAGTAACGATTATAAAACGTTTAAGAGACCTGACGTGTCATGGAAAGTATTGCCAACCTGTTTCCGCAAAATTTTAATCAAAAGCTAACTTCTCTGAAGCCATAGTGGAGATTAGATGGCTGGCTAGAAAGGATCAGCAACCAGAAACTCTAGCATAGAACGAACCAATCTAGAACCTATCGCCCAACAAACATGCTGGAGAAAATGGTGACGAATTGGATGACTGAAGACCACATAGTGCTCCAGACCATCGGTCGAGTCGATTCCGAGTCGGATATAAGGAAAGGGAAGTCTGAGTGTGACTTAGAGGTGACTGTGTGAGAAACAGACGAAAGCTTATGTGCAGTTTTGCGGCCAGATGAAGAGATCAGCAGAGAACGGGATGAAGTGAAGATGTTCTGTTACCACCCCACCTACTGTGTTCCAT